AGCTGAAATATATCTGTTATATTAGAAAATGTTGCACTTACTTAATTGTTTTGGTAAATGTGAGAATATAACTCATATGGATCCACATTACTATGCCATAGATAATTCACTTGAATAGTGTTTTCCTTTCCAATTTTTAATGTTTTGAAATATAACTACTTTTCCCATCTTGATTCTAATCAATCTCTCCAACACAATCTCTTCCACGTAAGTCATTCTATCTGCTATTTAATGAACTAAAAATAAACATAGATTGTAAATGGTAGCTAGTATTTAAACAAAACATTCAATAGATTATTTTCTAACCCCCCCAAAACAAGTGCTTTATAAACTACCTATTTATGTTTAAATATGAACACTTCAATGTAGGGTTTTGCTAAACCAAGTCATACAGTAGATATCTTTGCACAGGCATAGAGTTAAATGTGTGTGAGGATGATACAGGAAACAAAAACATACAAATATAAAAACCACCTCCCATACTGTTGGATTTAATTCTAGTCATTTGCTTCAAACTGCCAGAAGACAATAAAAGGTAGACACCAAAGCTAGAAGTAGGCTGAAATGAAAATATTTCAGAATTTTATATTAAGCCTTGTGGGCTGCTCATCTATTAACTGGGAAAAGCTAAGGGATGGGCCAACGCATGGTTGCTTGTTGCAACTTGAAACTCATTATTGCCAAGCATCATTCCTGACTTTATAGTAATATCATGCTTACAAAGCCAAGGTCGTAGGTTCCAGTAAGCCAGTCAGCATCTTGCAGTCTGACTTACAGTTTTCTCTGTCTTTGCACAAATGCTTGACGTTAGTCAGAAGAGGAATATGCATAAGAAAGAGAATGATATAGTACAGGTCCTTTACCAATACTGGAAAAGTAATGCAAATATCACATCCTAAGAAGAATGGTTGAAAAACAACATCCTCATATTTGAAGAAACCCATACATATCCTAATAAAAGAGGTTGATAGCTCCAGGCATAATAAAAATATTAATTATTAACAAAAGACCAAGGTTATATTTGAATTTAAAAATAGGACAGTTTCTTCAGTAGAGAAAAATGAACTACTTACATGATTTCTATAGTTTTCTTTTTAAAAATAGAAACTTTTTGATGGCATCATTTCTTATATATTCAAAAACCCATATAGCTTCTCCAAATATATAATAAAAGAAAATTATGCTTTTCCAGATATGTTACATTCTCATAACATCTTTGTTGCTCATTATCTGAGAGAAGATACTGTTTTTATCTGTTTGCTTTAAAAACTATACTTTCTTTTTCAAAGTCATTGTCATTTGCTATCAATAAGAGAATATTAATGTTGCTATTTTAAAAGATATCTTAATGTATTACTATATTTTAATTCTTTTTTTAGAAATAAAATACATGTATAGTTTATTAAGATTTAGGACTTCTTGAGTATAGCATACAGAGGCCTAATGGATTACTGATATTGTTAATATTCCAGGTCCATGCATCAACTGTTAAATAAAGTTATCTTTTCATAATCCTATTTAATATACATTATTTCCAAAATAATTTGCACACAACTAAATTCAAACCACATAATAAATATTATTACCTATGAAAGAAATGGACAAGAGCAGGTGTCAATACTCTTTATATATACTCTACATTACATATCACACTGTTTTACACATAGTTGATATCTACTAGTTATTTACTTAAAGTGAATATATAAAATAGAAAATAAATTTAAAGTGTAAGTCTGGTGGATGAGGAACCTTTGTAGATGAACTGAGTTATTAAATGCCAGCAGTAGCAAGGAAGACCAATGGGATGACAAAGGAGAGAAAGCTCCCAAGAATTCTAATGAGGGTAAAAGGTCTAATAGTTCATTCCCATTACTTACTACATTTTGCCTTGTGTTGAAAGTTCACACGTTGTAAGACAGTAAAGCAAAATCTGTGATTTTTATGCCTAGTTGCTTTCTATTATATGTCTTAACCTTGTAATGGTGATAAAATACATAGTAAATAAGTTTTAGGGCCTTTTTCTAGCCAACTATGTGATTCCTCAGGGGTTGAATGTTAAGCATAGTCAACTGGATTTCTTTTCCCAAAATGAATTGCAAAAACTGGAGGTTAAAAGAACACTGGGTTGAAAGATGTTTATAGAGATAAGCATTAAGATTGTAATAATAAAAGCATCTTGAAAACAATGCATTTAAAAATATTTCAACATAATGTACCTAACAAAAATTAAGGAAAATATTTCTAAAACATAAGGGCCTTTTTTTTAAGATTATTTGTAAGTACATCTTCAATCAAATTTCAAAGGCCACTTTTGCTGTGTTCTTGAAATCTTGGGAGATGTACTAGATGGGGCATTTTAGTTATAATAAAAGGAAACAGTCCTATTCTAGTTTAAGGGAGGAAAAAAAGGGGAAATTACTATAAAGTTACTATAACGTTGCAGGAGTATGGGTCAAAATGGCTGGAATGCAATCATTCTTCAGAAACAGACTGGAACCTGGGAATGAATGGTTCACCTATCAATACTTTGGGGTAAATGCTGTTTCCACTCTTTATATATTTCAATGTGTTGATTCCATTCTATCTGCACAGCTTTCTCTGTCATTCAAACCACAAGACAAAAGATGAGTGTGTTCTGTTACCCAAGTGGTCAAGAAACTAACTCAAACAGAAACTGAACTCTGTTGGTCACAATTCCAAATCCTCATGGGAAGGGATTCTGATTGACACAGCTGTGTCTTATTCCTACACATTTGGCCTATGTGTGGGTCACATTGAAATAACATGATTATAAAGAAAGACCTTACATAGATAGCTAGAGATCATGTCATGTATGAAATTGGGATCTATAATTTAAGAAAAATACTTATTTACCTGTCCCTCCAACATTTGATGAGTACCTACTATATTTTAGGTACTATTCTAGATGTTGATTATGCAGATAGCAAATAAGGTAAATAGGTACCTGGGGAAACTGTTGTCATGAATCATGGAAGTAAGAGTGGTTTGATACAAAACAAAACAAACAACAAAAAGAGATACTACTCCCTTGCTTCTTAGAGATGAAAATAAGGGTGGAAAATCCTTTAAAAACAAAAGTAATTTCTAAATTTGTAAATTCTAAATACCTATCTATACTATAAGGCTTACTACCTTTTCAATGTAATATTGTATTTTATCCCAACCTTTTTCTTCAGGCACACTATATTGCAGGTTCCTTGAGGGCAGGAAACAAGTGTGATTCATTTGCATGTATATGCCTTGTGTCTAAAACGGTACACACTAAGTACACATTTATTAACTCTGACTTAGGGCCTTCCTCTAAGCCATAACTTATTTTACTCACATTGGAATGCCCTTATCTTCCAATCCACTCACCTTATAAGATTTTATTCATTTTTCATTATTCCACTCAAGCACCTCTTTGATGAAACTTTTCCTTAATCCTTCAAAATTAGCCATTCCTTTCTTTGCCCATCATCATGCACTTTGACCATTAAAATAAGACCATATCTTCATTTCATTCTGGGTTCTTATTTCTGTCTTAGTGAGTATTAAATTATACATATATGATATATATCATTTATAATATCCATGTGCATGCACGCACATATGTAATATGCCTATGTACACACACACACAAACAGTACGTATGTATTACACATCTATAATCCTCTTCAAGATTTTTGAAGTCAAGGACAATGGATTATTTGCCATTATATCCTTGAGCTAAGACCATTTGTTGAATGAATGAATATATTCCATGATAATTATTTTTTTCTAAAGGAACAAATGATATGTGGAACAAAAAAGGTGTTATCAGTAAGCAGAAACGCTATTAGAGTTATCTTTAAATACATATATTAAAATACAGATATGCACATGGCTTAGTACAAAGTTTACATGGAATTTTAGAAATGCTAGTAGGAACTGACCATTACTTTTTTTAATTATTTTTTTATAAAGAAACAACATATTTCTTGTTCCAGGCAGAAATGCTGGCTGTCCTTGTTATATTCTTTCCCAAATCTGTTCATTCTAATAACATATTATTTTTTAGTTCAAAATGGTTTCTAAAAAAGTAGATATCTAATAGTATACACCACATTACTCAAACATCTGTATGATACTTTCATATATCTAAAGGTTAAAATTTGACCATAGTATATTTTTTGATCATTCTATTTTGTTATCCTTATAACAGCAAATATATTCTAGGGATGACACTAGTAATTCTTGCATAAAAAAACAGATTCTTAGTTGTGCAAAGACCACATCCCGATTTCACTTTGTCCAAGTTCCTCTGAAGTTCTGATTTTCCTAAGTCTATTCCAGTTAAAGCAAAACCAAAGAAATGTAAGCATTAGTACTAATAGCCTGTTTAACAGAGTAAAAATAAATGAAAGCCAAGAGAAAAGTTTCCAAAAGGACTAGTTGGCTCTGGATAACTTCATATATAAATATATGCATTTATGAGCATATATATAAATCTACCTAAGTATTTGTGATTTCCTTTGTCTACTTTAAATTATTTGTAGATTAAAAAAAAACAGATTTTTTTGACAGTCTTTGTCTCCTTATCATAATATAAAATAGTTTCCAAAAGTACAAAGTAACTTTTTAAAGGCAGAAAAGGAGATGACTGGTTAAAAGTTATCAATTCTTATCTGACTGGTCCTCTGACTCTCCTAGTTCTCGGCCTGTCAGAAAAAGACAGACTTGCTAGATGTCATGTACTACATACATCCTGACAGAATCTTTCATCAATCTTAGGGCAAGAGCAACTGCTCTAAACTTGGGGCATCAGTCATTACGGTTTTGTTACTCTTGTTCTTTTCCTAGGTATGCTGCTTCTGTATCTCTTATCTTCTGGCTGCAGTCACAGACCCTGCCAGGCAAGAGCACAGATAGCAGGTGCAAGCAAGCATGTCTGCCTTTGTGCATGATGACACCACTATCCAGTAACAAAGAAGAGAAGAGAAAGAAAGGGGTCGCTTTACCCGCAAGAAGGAGAGGTCTCGGTTGTGCTCGATGCTGGTTATCTCCAAGTTGCCCATGACTACCTCACAGTTTTCATAGTATTTGCGCAAGGCTCGGTACTGCTGTTCCAGATCAGAGAGAGAGCTCAGTTTATTCTCTGTTCCTGCACACACTGCAAAAAGACAAGATACACACAAAATTATATAACCTTTATATGACATGCACAATGATAATATCTTCTTCAAAACCCTCTATTCCATAAGTCTATCCCAATTCCTTGAATTAAAATATTTTTAATATCATTAAGAGCCATAGCCCCACACACTGATAAATATCTTCACTTTTATATTCCTAAATTTCCTGTACTAATCACAAGGAATAGGAAGGCATGGAATCCACTGAAACACTCAGTAGGGAGATAAACTTAATCCAATTTGCTGTGACCATATGAAGCATGGTAATACATTTAGCTTCATTTAAATATGGTTTTCTTTAGGACTTATAATTTGCTTTATTTTCTAATACAGCAATTCTACATATGTAAATAAATCAACATCAAAAGATGGTAAAAGTAACAATTTTATTTTACAAATGATATTTATTGTCTATTGTAAAGTAAGCTGTTCCAGTTGAGTAAATTTTTTTATATAATTAAGACTTGTACCTGTAAGACCTCAAAAATGCTATCTTTTAAAAAAGCAACTGTTAAATAACTTAGCTTGACATACTTACAAATGTATATTACAAACAAGATATGTAACAAAATAACACTTTTACTGATATAAACTGGGGTCATCACTATATATATTCATGAGTTTTCTGATGTATAATGGACTGGTAATATCTCTGATAGGTTATATTGAATCTGTTCATATGTGAGCACACAAATGTAAACACATTTAAAATTTGTGTGTGTGTGTGTATTGATTTCTTTTACATATTCCAGAACACAGGTTTTTTTAGCTATTATTCCCATGATTTGTAAACCTGCCTATATATGATCTTTACTATGTAATGCACTGAATCTAATCTTAGAGTAAAAACCTACATTATGAATCTTGTAATAATAGTATGTAAAGTTAAAGAAAATAGATCGCAAATGAATCTTCTTTGAGTAAGTTACATGATACACACTGAATTTAAGGGAAAATACAAAGTGCAAACTTCAAAGACACAGGGAACAGAGCTTAGTAATAAAGTTATATATATACTATGTGTCAAGTACACAGAAGTGACAAAGAAGTCACAATGCCTGATGCCTGATGATGTGGTCAAGGGAATGGGTTTGTGTAAAGGGAAAGGCAAACAATCTAGATGAGTGTATCCTAATGTTATGACCACCTTAAAGCCTGTTTTTCCCTATGAACATGTCAGCAATAACAAAAATCATACTCCCAAAGTCTTGAAGAATAGTGTAAATCTTTAACCATAGAGGAAACTCATTATAAAAACAAAACCAAAATACAAACTATTAGAGTCTGGATTTCTAAAGTTAACCAAATAGTATATTTTAGAAAGACCCTGCTATGAGTTGGATTGTGTAGCCCTAAAAGATATGTTGAAGTCCTAACACTCCAGTACCTATGAATATGACCTTACTTGGAAACAGTCTTTGTAGATGTAATCAAGTTAAGATGAGGTCATTAAGGTGGTCCCTAATCCAACATGGTGGATGTCCCTTTAAGAGGAGGATAATACCATGTTAACACAAAGGCACCCAGGGAGAAAGTTCTGTGACCACAAAGGCAAAGAATGGAGTGATGTAGCTACAAACACCAAGGAATGCCAAGGACTAGTAGGTACAACCAAGAACTTGGGAGAGGCAAGGAAGGATTTTACCTAGAATTTCAGCAGGAGCATGACTCTGAGGACACCTTGATTTTAAACTTCTAACTCCCAGAACTGTTAGAGAATGAGCTCCTGTTGCTTTAAGCCACCTAGTGTGGGGTATTTTATCATTATTATTATTATTGAAGCACTAACATAATCTTTAGACTATTTTTCTCTAAAATTTCACATTTAAATAAATGTTACAAATCACATCCTCTTGGGGCCCTATCAGCTTATCATCTGCAAGCTAGCTACTCTATCCTTCTTCCTCCCGAGTGCCAAGACTCTCATGTCATGCTACAATTCATTTGTTGCTTTACAGAATGTAGTTTTTGTAGAGTGGATATGGATGGGCATTATGAAAAAGACTTTTAGAATCTTCAATATCCATTTTCTTCTTCCTTTATAGTAAGACTGCACAATTTTTAGCTGAGCATGTGGCCCACCCAGAGTATAGACTACATCTCTCTTATCCCCTTGAAGGTAAATTTGGACAAGGGACTAAGTTTTTACATGTTTTATGACACCTTCCCAGAACTTTATTTAAAACATGGTTGAAGCCTGATTTTGCCTCCTTCTTCATAATTTCTTCTGGCCTGCTGCCAGAAATGCAGGTGTGATGGCTAAAACGTCAATCACTATATTGGACCATAAGAATGATTGACACATCTGAGAGATGACTGGAAATTTAGCTGAAAGGAAGTAGAATTTTCAAACAATTGATATTGTATATTATCTTATTATCACTAATTCCAGAAAATGATAAATATTGGCCCTAACTACCAAAATATTAGAATAGGAAGGATTGAATTCTAGTTGAATAATATGCTTTTGATATTAAGTAATGTAAACTATTCTGCCTGGTCATTTGCCTGAATTTGTTCAATTTATAATGAAACTACAAAATCATTCCTGATCATAGCAACTTTTTGCTGGTTCTGTGGAAGATATCCTTATTATTAAAACTAACAAAACACAAAAAAATGAATTTCTGTTGATAACTACAATAATATTCAACATAAGCAGGAGAATAAAAAACAGTTTCTTTATGTACATATTCCTTATCAGTCAAAGTCTTTGGAGATCAAGGTCCATTTTTTTTTTCATTATATACATATAGGTTCTTTTGGAAAAAAACCCTTAATCCATAATCTTTATTTTACTGCTTCCTGCAAACTTATAGCAAAAATCTTTATAAACTTATAAAATGTTTATTGAGAACAGATACTATTATATAGGTTTATGAAATACAGATTTTAATTATTTTAAATTCTGAAGAGGACATATTTTAATAGAATGAATTATGGGGGTAGTTAAGCATCCATTAATAAACTTACTGCCCCATTTCTAAACTATATGCAATGCCGCATTTCAACTTGTATACAACTTATATTGTACAGGTATTTTCAACTGGAAACAAAACTTGTAATTTAATATTAATATATAAAAATTTAATATGCAATAATCTAAATGAAAATATTTCTAAAACATTGAATGTATTCTTACCTTTTCTATAGAAGTTTAAATTTTGAAAGATACTATAGCTGCAATACCTAGGTACTTTTGCATATTTCTCATCCTAGGTAGTTTTAAGTTTGTGGTAAGTTCTCATTTTTGATATTCATTCAAATATTCTGTATAGTCTAAATATTTAGGATTTTGTTTAAACTGATCATAATAAATATATGCTTCCCTACATTGCAATAATTCATTAATTGACAGCAAAACAATTATAACTGCTACTCAGAGAATAACCCTCAACTCAGAAAAAAAGTTGCTATTGTTCAATAAATGATCAGCTGTGTTTTGCATATAATTTATTTTAAAAAATTGGAATAAATATGTTTAGAAATATTTTTGAACCAAAAAAAGATTCTCCAAGAAACAGAAAATCTCATTAATCACAATACTCTATTTGCCAAAACATTCTAGTCTTTGCAGTTTTTACTATACATTGTTCAATTTAGGAGACATTTTTGTCTCAGTGAGACTTTCATTTATATTTATGTTTGATTCAAATTATATAAAATAGATAGTATGTTTGTCATACCTCTTATCAGGAAAGACAGACTTGAGTTTAAGAGAACTCGTTTGGATAGCCACATCAAAATCATTTGTAGTTCTCATGCAGCCTTCACTAAGTGACTCACAACTTCCATTTGTCAATTGATTTTACAATCAGACCAGCTATACAAGACAATGCTTAAACCGTCAAGTTTCATTGATTTCACAAAGCTGTTTATCAAAACAAAATTGAAAAATCTTCTTCACCAGCCAAAACAAGTTTAACAAAATTCAGCCCCCTTACCAATACTATTATAAAGTCCTTAAACTACACGCCTACAAATAGTTCAAGCTTCAAAAATCTGAAATTAACATGTGCTCCCTGGAGTTTTCATTCCAAATGTAACTCCAGGAATAAAACTATATGTGAGGCTTTAATAAAATCACCAATTATTACATTTAGTATTGATTCTGTTACAAATGTAGCTATAATTGCAAATACAGGCCTTTTATTCTTCTTGATTTAAGATTTATATCCAACAGTGGGTAAATTACATAATCCTCATTCAGTAAAAAAATTAGAATTAGGAGTTTGTAGCAATATAAAAAGGTTGGTTAACAAAATTATTCACTTGATTCATAAGGAAAATATATCAGAAGCAAAATAAAGAAATGCTAACATTCATATTAAAACCAAATATCAATTCTTGCCTGTAGGAGTGTTATGGCCATGAAACCAGCACTCCATTTGCTCTCAAAGAAATGATAGTAAGAATAAAAAAAAAGTTTGCCTAATTCTCAAATCAAATGCCTATTGTGAGATATCAATTAAGAAATTAATCATTATTTATTTAGCATCTACTTTGCTCCTAGTATAATGGAAAAATATTTATTGACAAAAATTTTCAAGGTGTTTTGGAAGGGCTCATTTAGTTGTACAAGACATATAGCTGAAAAGCAGTGAGCAGTATATATAAGTCACATATATATGTGTGTGTGTGTATATATATATATATATATATATATATATATATAGTGTGTGTGTGTGTATAATTAAGAGACTATCTGCATGGAAAAAAATTTAGTAACCTGAAAAAAATTTCTTAATTTCTTTATATGACTTAACATCAATAAATATTTTCTAATTCAGAAATGTTAACATAAACATGCTTTCAGATTAATGAACATTGTTGGGCATTCAAAAATCTAGTGCTAAGGTAAATCCCAAAATATAAAATATTTAAAGAACATGTAAGAAACCATAAACATTTCCAATAACTATCACTGAATGCTATTATAGTTATGCATAGATGGCAAGATTTGTCAGCTTTATGTTCA